TAACTCCAAGAAGACGTCATGTACCTGGCTCCTTCTAGTGAATGCAGAGCTGCATACAATAGTGTCCTGTAATGCTGGTTTAGATTTTGTTGTTATTTCAAGATCCCTATATTCACATTACTATTTATTTACTATTTATTTATTTACACTTATTTCAGGATGGAAGTTATGACGCCGTATGTATACAACGTAATTGTACTGAGTTGGTCACCACCACTACCACTACGACAACGACGCCTGAACCGATCGTAGTCGAGGAGCAAATGAGCAGCTCTGGTGAGTTCCCAAGCAATATTGCGGCCAGCTTATATGATTCGAAAGAGCCAGTAAGACTAAATCTGCTTGAATCCCCATACCTAGCAAAGGAGGGGCTATGGTTGGCATAAAATGATCAAATTTTTCCAAGTCATTACTGAGATGAAAAACGGAAGTACAATAAATGTGGAGCGCGGCGTTGCCCTCTATAGGTCTGAACCCTGCTGCCACTTAGGCTTCCCTGGAATCTCTCTTTATTGACTGGTATTAGGCTTGCTCGGGAAGACGGACGTTTTTCCTCGTAAGCGCCTGGCTGCCTCGATCCGCTTTACAGGCATAGAACACCTCGTGAACATTGCATGGACGACAAGTGCGTGGCGCATACCGAGATGACCAAGCAAAAGTGGCCACTTTATCCTGTTTCATTTTATTTCCCGCTAAAATAGACTTCAGTGATTTATGTGACGGGCAGAATAATGTAGGTGGCATCGACTATTTTTTGAGTACGCCATGCATGTGACCTCGTTAGGACCGCCAATGGCGTAATGTTTCGGTTTTAATGACTACACTCTGACTCTGAAGTTACTTAGGTAATCTGCCTGGCGATTAATGATATCCAGCTGTTGTGACCGAAGAATTTGTACGCAGTTGCACGCTTGTGTTCAAACACCCTTTTTGATCTCTCAGAGGACACCGAATTCGCGGCGCTTTGAAGGGATTCGCCTATCGCTTTTCTACTTTCTCACCCATTACGGAACGCCATATGCCAAATTCTTTGAGTGACGTAATATCAAGAAGCTTAGCGGTGCCTCCCATCATATTGCCAGATATCTCTGCATCTCTGAAGTGCTTTGAGTGACAATGGCCCGAGGGAGGTGTGAGAAAGAAGATGAACGGCAGCTGATTACTACTATTGAGAAGTAATGACATCCACCATATATAGCAAGCAATTATAAATGGAGTGTTTAAATGACATCCTAAGTGATGCATTACGCACGAATCAACAACATATCGACATACCCTTTACTGCATATGATTCATTGCGAGTTACTCATAGCTAAATGCAGTTTTCGAGGAATGAATAACTCGGGGAACGCCACTCGGGGGAGGGGAAAGACCCCTTGCTCATTACCCGACGAGAGAACGAGAGCTTGCTTTTTTTTGTACAAAGTGGCAACATCTAAGGTACAGTTATCGTCGCGATCACTCGGGGCGGTGTCAGGGGTGGGGTGAGCCCTCCTCAGGCTGCCTGTCTCTACCAATAGTGACCGGTTAGTGACGAATCGGGAAGAAGACAACCACTAGTAGAAATACCGCGGGTACGCCTACTCCGTCCCTTATGACACCGCCCCGACTGATTCCGACGATATCGACGGTACTTCGACGAAAAGTCTTCTCTGTATGTACTTTATTCAAGGCACTTCCTGTCATTGGGGAGAATTTTCGCGGGACCTCCTCAAGATCATCTCCTCTGGCACGATCCACTCCCCATCCTAAATAACATGTTCCTGAGTTCTCCCCCAAATTCCTACTACTCCTGCCAATTTCTTTTCCGTTTTTCTGGGAATTCTAGATGGTTTTCTTATAGGAAAAC